CCACTCGAGCATTCTTCCTATATGGTGGTCAAAGAATAGCAGGGATATGTCCTCCGATTGATATGCATTCTGGTTTCCCTACCATACCAGGTATAGTATTGTGTTCTCTTAGAATTCAAATGTCCATATAATATTTTATTTATATATTTGATTTACATTTTAACATATAGCAGATTTACGCACATCTACGCCCAGAGTGCCAATTTTCGATTCTAGAGTCCAACCCTTCCGATCACCCACGCAAATGGGGCTTACCACAGACATTAGTTTGCAACATTTCTCTGCTAAACATAGCGGGTTATATTTGTATGTCGGAAGAATACTTCGTCCTATATGGAATGTAAGATGTATAAAACAAGAAATAATAAGTAATAAAACCGTGGTAAGTAACTTTTAGAGAAAAATTATTATTGTATGTAATTTTTTAAAAAATATTTCCTCGATTGTCTATATATATATTCTGAAATGAATTGTGTGTTATTATTTTTATTTTTGAAATTTTAATGCTTATAAATTATAAGTATTACTTATTTTATTCAGATTTCCAGTACAGTACCAGCAACACAAATTACTTGGATCTTAGGTCATTTGCAAGCACTTAGATCTTTCTTAAACAGAAATACACATATCACAAAACAGTATGTATTTTCTAAAACATATAATTTTTTTATATAATAATATATGTATATGTATGTTATAATTTTATTAGATTATAATAAGCTAATTAGGAAGTCAATTAAAACTAAAACAAAGTATATACGTATACAGACAAAGCACAAGTAGAGGTTTAACAGACGGTTTTGAAACAACGATGCAAAGTCATTTTCAAGAACCAATTGTGGAAGAAAGAAACTCCTTGGACGCCTTAAAAGTTTTCATTACTCATGCATGTGAGGTTTTAGGTTTATGGAAAATATTATGCGAAAATCAGCTAAATAATATCGTCAACTGTCTATCAAAAGTAATTTAATTTTTTTTTCATTAGTTAAGCTTACTGGAAGATAATTAGTTTTTTATTTTCAAGATAAATCAGAATGTTGATCTTTCAGGATCAAATTACTCAATTTTCTACAGCCACCTTCAGAGATTTAATTTTAATAGGTCACGAAATATCTTCTCTGCTCATCGTTCATTTGATTGATAGGTAAGTTTATAAATTTTGTACAAATATTCCAATAATTTACAGTTAATATTTTGCAGTTATCTTGGAGATAACGCATCAGTGGATTCCGTAAGTGCAAAATTAAGAGAAGTCTGTCCCAATTTATACAGAACTGAAGATGCTGTTTGCTCTAAGGTAACATGAATATAATTTTTTTTTTATAAAAGTTATAGTCTTATCAACATTTATATGATAGGAATTATATAGTATAATAATTATGATCATTTTCGTAAATTTAGGCAAACGAAATTCTCCTGAAAGCAAAAGGGTGCACAAATCCCGAGGACAAAGAATGTTATCTTCAGTCTGCTTTAATGGTACGTCATAATATCATCTGTGCAGCGAAAGGCAATATTTAATTTTACTTATTTATTGAATATCTACACAGCTTTGTAAAGAGGTAGCACCGAGGTTGAATCTGAATGCAGTGTGCCAACAATTTGTCGCATGCCAATTCTACACAGGTGTACTTGAATTGTGTATTTGTTGTGCAGAAAGAATAGATCCCAACAACGCTGCTTCACATTATTATAAAAATAATGAACCTATAGAGGATCAAGAAGGAAATCTCGCTTTTACGAAACGGTACATAACAACAGCATACATCTTTATGGATAACAACAAGTAATAATTTAATACAATTTTATTTACAGTTCGGAGATTTATAAGGAATTTACCACAATGTTAGATCACTTGTATCACCAGAGCATCTCTAATCCTTTAACGCCAACTATACCGAGCAAGCCAGGACCTCCTTTACAAACAGCATCAAATGCTGTTGTAATACCGGCGAAAGAAATTGTATGTAATGTAAATTTTTTGCATATGTATTTTGAAATGTATTATAATATTAATATTTTTTTTAGTTACATGAGATCATAGACGATGCACTGCATGCACCATGTGAGACTCTTCATTCCTCGATTTATACTTGGATGATAGATAGAGGACTTCACGGTGAATTAGTTGCTTTTGCTGCACCTTCGCTAGAAACTTACCTCAATCGTGTTAATGCGCCTGAATTACTTTGGCAGTTCTATGAAAGAAATAAAAATCATGCTGCTGCAGCAAAGATCTTGGATTCTTTGGCTACCAAAGTCGGGTATGCACATATATTGCATGTAATATATAATGTTTTGGCAAAAATATAAAAATTTATATTCATTTTTTTACAGATCGGAAATATCACTCTCAAAAAGAGTCGAATATTTAGCACGTGCGGTTGTATGTATGCGAAGCGATCAAACTGGATATGCTCCTTACCTTGGAATTTTCTTACGCGAATTAGAAGATAAATTAGAAGTAGCTAGAATGCAACAACAGGTACATATTTTAAGCTGTTAATCATGAATTCAATTCTCTACAAAGTGGAACATCTATAACTTTACGATTTAGATCTTTCTTTTATGTATGCAATCAATAATTGAAAAATATCTTAAAGAGAGAAAAAATAATATAGGTTATATAAAGTTTTATGTGCCATTCATATTCTAATATTTAAATAAATTTAATGTATTATATTAATTAATAATTGATTTCTCAAATGTCTTTAACAGATACTTGAGATTATCAGCAATCAGCAAAACCTGTTCGATTCGATGATAGTTACAGATGCAAAATTGAGATTAAATTCTTCGTTGCTTGATATTACACAGGTTTGTAATTTTAACGAAAGTATGTTATTTTTCATTTAAATCTTATTTCTCCTTAAGATTATTATATACAATATTAATTATAGTTATATGAAGAATATGCAGAGCCTTTACAACTTTGGGAATGCAAACTAGCTATCATTCACTGCTCGGGTCATCAAGATGACATGTTAATTAAAGGAATTTGGACCAACATAATTGATAATGGTATACAATAGTTTGCATATTTATAATATTTTAACAATAGTTTTCTCAACTTTCTAATGCATTCTTAATGTTCATAGAATTAGAAAATGCAACGGAACCATCGAATGAGGATAAAATGACCATTTTAATGTGCAAAATTAAAGTACTTGGTCAAGAATATATCGGATCACCGCATTGTTTCCCAATTGGTAATTATATTTTATGTATATTTGATTTTATATTGACAATAAAATTTTAATTTTAATTCTTTTGTTTTAGATTTTTTAGTGAAACAATTGGAAATGAAGGCATGTAAATATAAAGTAACTAATACTAGTATTATAACTTCTTTCTTGGAATTGGGAGTAGCAATGGAAGATCTTTTAGACATTTATGATAAGTAAGTATATTAATTGCAAAATTTCGGCGTTCTGATATTTCAAAGTATGATATTTCATGTTATGCTCAAACTGTCTGTCTTTAGAATGATTGGTAAAAATACCCGTATTTGGTTAAATGAAGGTAACGAATTTCACTTAATCGAATCAACAGCGAACTTGGTAAATCATTTCATAAAAAACATGACTGTAACAAACAATTTTGTCAGGTGCGTATTATTTATAAACTAGAATCTCGATTATAATTCATTGTACTTCATATTGCAGAGATTAGAAATCAACTAATACAAAATTCAGATTTTTTAATTAAATTTAAACATTTTGAACAATATTAAATATTTTATTTTAAAACAAAAAAGAAAGCGCACAAAATATAATTTAATTTAAATAAAAATAAGTAAATTTTTTATTTTTAATTGCTAATCAAAATCATAATGTTAAATTTGGTACTAATTAAAAACTTCCTTTACTGCAGGAGAAAGATAATAACAAAGTGTCAGGATGTTATTTCGAAATGTTTAACAACTCTCTTTAGTAAACCTAATGGTGGAGAACTCGAAAGAGAAATAACAAATTTGCGTTCAATTCAAAGTATATTGAATCGTATGTAAAGCAACTTTACTGAAGAAGAGTGTATACGTGTATATACATGTTATCACGAAAAAGAAGAAAGCCTTATGACTTCTAAGTTATTTGATACTTTTTCCTGACGCAAAAAGCAATGTTATTTATGGTACTATCATTAAATAAATTAATTGCTCAACTTTTATGAATGTTTATCAAGATATAAAATTTACACAATTTATTCCAAGTAGACTATTACTGTATAATCTTTTACAAATTTGTAAATTCTAACAATACTGTATACTAAATAATAATATAAAATTGTCAAATATATATATGTGATGTATGTATCTAAAATTATTCCCTCATTTATTTAGCATTTTATCAAATATGCTTTATACTTATAAGTCAAAGCTAATGAAACAAAGTTGTAAAGTTAGTAAATAGATTAGAATGCTAATTTTATACAAGACGTAAATAACGATGTAATATAAGGTATTTAAATATTATGTACAAGAGATGATAAAATTAATAAATTTGGAGGTGCAGTAAAATACTAATTTAGAAAGTGTATTATATCTTCTACGTTTTTTTAGTTTAACTTGATTCTAACAATAGAAGTAATTATTAAATAAAATTTTATCATAATTATATAATCAATAGCATTACATTTTGAAGAGGATAATTATTTTAAGGATCTACAAGATATTTAGAGTACTTTTACTGGAGTAGTTAGAGGAATAGAGATTGAATAAAATTAATAAAATAAAATTTAAGAACTTTAGTTTATACAAGATGTAAGTAACGATCTAAGATAATATTTAAGTAATACATGCAGAATGACAAAGTTTAAGTCATAAATTTGGAGGTAAAGTCCACAAGATATTTAGAACAATTTAGAAAACTTTTACTGGAGTAGTTCGAGGAAATTAAGGAAATATATTTAAAGATATTTATTTTGAATAAATAAGCCTATATTACATAAATTACTTTTTACATTATCTCTTAGGTTATAACAACATATTTCAAATGGCTTGAGTTGGAATATGATCATTAATGTATTTACAAGTCAGAAATAAAACTGTTCCAGACGTTTCCATCAAGTGTTCTTTTGTATTTTGATATCGATTGACATCTATTTTTGTCAGTTACAACTACTATTCAAATGAAAGATACGGAGTAAATTGTACATGCAGCAAACAGACAAGAGATCGTACCATCGTATGAATATTTTGGGGCCCTGAAAAGGGCCATTTGTTACTCGCAGTGGCTGCAAACCAAAGGTTGTCTCACGTCAGTTTACGATTATGCTTTCTTTTCAGTTTTCTTCGGCAACAGCACCGCCTGAATGTTCGGCAAGACACCACCTTGAGCAATGGTTACGCCGGACAGCAGCTTGTTCAACTCCTCGTCATTGCGGATGGCGAGCTGCAGGTGTCTCGGAATGATTCTTGTCTTTTTGTTATCGCGAGCTGCGTTGCCGGCCAACTCCAACACTTCGGCGGCAAGGTATTCCATCACGGCGGCCAGGTATACCGGTGCTCCAGCGCCTACACGTTCGGCATAATTTCCCTTTCGCAATAATCGATGGATACGGCCCACGGGAAATTGTAATCCAGCTCGGTTGGAGCGGCTCTTCGCCTTGCCTTTAATCTTGCCTCCTTTACCACGTCCAGACATCTTGATCTAATCGAGCGTAAATACCCTCCGTGCGAACCGTACGATGGCAAAACGCGTTTTGAGGGAGCGTCGCAAAACCAGCTGTATTTATAGGAAATGGCGTCAGTAACGTTTGACCAATGGCGTGCGAGCGAAGCTGCCATTGGCTGAACGCTGCTTGACGGTTGATGGTATGATTTTTTTAAATATTTGAAACTTCCAACGTTTCTTATTCCTATTATTTGAAATAAAATACAAATGAATAAAATATAAATAATGGTAGAAAAAATGTTTAGATTAATTAAGATAATAATTTATGTTCGTTTATATAATATCATTTAGATAATAATTTGTGATTGATTCTCGTTTCTACCAATGTAGATTACTTTAATCTCAGAGAGTTCAACGATATATGTCTTTTTTTATTTTTATAATTAAAAAAAGATGAATTAATTGAATCAATTAAACTACATTGATAAAATGGATATATTAGATATCAATTTTTGATAATTTAATGCGCAAGTTAATTGCAGACGTGTCACATCAATAGGATGTACGTTATAGTACTTTTTTAAAATAATGCAAAATTTCATTTGAATTTTTTATGTAATGGTCTTAATGGGTCGATTCTAGACAGAATCTAATGCCTAAATTCTAAGCAGAATCGTAAGGCTCGTAACATATTCCTGTAAGATTTGTAAAAATTTTTAAGTGCTTATACCTTTATACAATATTTTTGCAGATAGAAATTTAATGCGCAAGTTAATTGCAGACGTGTCACATCAATAGGATGTACGTTATAGTACTTTTTTAAAATAATGCAAAATTTCATTTGAATTTTTTATGTAATGGTCTTAATGGGTCGATTCTAAACAGAATCTAATGCCTAAATTCTAAGCAACCTTACGATTCTGCTTAGAATTGACCCATTAGATTCGTAACGTATTCTCGTAAAACTTGTAAGAACTTATGACTAATATTTTAATGTTATGTGTATGTATCATAAGACGTATAATTATTCGTAAATATCTACGATTTCTTGTAAATTTTATGGTTAGTAAGAAGCTGTCAGTAAAAATATTATATAAAGATATAAGTATTTAAAAATTCTTACAAGTCTTACAGGAATATATGTTTATGTTACGAGCCTTACGATTCTACTTATAAGACTCGATTATGATGAAAATATATAGAACGCTTATTAAGAATTCATTAAACGCCAACTAATTTAAGACCTCAAGACCCTAAAAATTTACATATTAGTCTTAGAATATTTTCAATATTTTAAGTTTGATTTTTGAATACAAATAATACTGATAAAATTATATCAAACTCGTTATACAACTCTTTATTACAATAACAAACACAAAGAAATTATGTAAACAGCGTTAGGTATATTTATAGTACACTAGGATTTAGCTTCGATAAGACGAGCTAACGAATAATTAAAATTCAAATTTAAACATATGTTTTATTATATCGATAACTGTAATTGCGTGATGATATTTAGAAGTTTCTGAAATTGTATTAAGAAATATATTTAAATTAACCCTCCGTGAACCAAATGGAAAATCAACATGGATCAAATGTGGGTATATTTCATACCCCATGCTATACTTCATTATAAATACACTATAATTTAGTATGATTGGTAACAATGCACTTTCCAGTTGCACGAAATCGGTAAAACATATATGAGTGGTACTTTTTAAGAAGTTATGGAAATTCTTGCTGGGGTATGTCACACCCCACCTAGTTCATGGAGGGTTAAATTTAATTAATATGCTAAATTTAAATGTATATTTTAATGTTAATACAATTTTGAAATATTTGATGTCTTTTCAATATAGTTTTATTTACTAAATTAGTTTGCATTTTTCTTATTGTTAGAATTAAGTACTCCAAAACCTTGTGTTTCGTGCTGTATTCGATATTTTATATAATTTTATTTCACTCATCAATATTTATTAATAAATTATAATCGGCATTATAATAATAAATTATATGATCGATTTTTAGAAAATTTAGATATCGTTTCATATTCAAATGTCGATAGATATAACGTAAACCAATACAAAGAAGATAAGTAAGTAGGTTCCGAAACGTGCAAAAGCCTAAGAAAAAATCTTACAATAAAGTCAGCAACATATTTTTATTATACAGATTATTCAATTTCAAGAATCAAGAAGAAGATAAGAAAATAATACTTAAGAGGAAAGAAAGTAAAAAGAGTAGAGATGATCGTGATGGGGGAAGGGGGGGGTTATAGGTTAAGATAGGATAAGGTATGTACGTTAAAGAGTTTGTGCGACATATATAAGAAGTAGACTTGTATAATAATGTGAATAAAGTAGAAATATAAGTCAAGATTGTAAGCAGAGAGAGAGAAACTAATTTCAGAGGAAAATGAAAAAAAGGCACAAGAAATGGTGGAACAGAAACTGAATTAGGAAAAAAAGGAAGACACTCAAGATACAAGAAAAACATTGGCAGAGGAGAAAGGAAATCATTTTATAGAGATATTAAGAGAATCGGTGACGTGTTTGGATGGCGACAAGTCGAAGAATTAAAAGTACAAGAAGATTGAAGCAGTATCGAGGAGGGCAGTGAAGAAAGAATGAATGAAAATTGATTGTACTAACAATAAGACAACGAGGAATTCAGTTGCGGGGTATAGGTAAGTACAAACAAAAGTTAAAAGTTGATAGAAAAGAAAATTTTATATATATATAGTATTTATATAGTATGTATATATATATATACAATTTTTAGACCATCTATAATAAAAAGAGGTAGGGAAAAGATAAATAAAAAAGGTCAAGAAGTGTATTGTAGATACGATAGAAATAAGAAAATATACACGAGATTGGTACATTAAGGATAAAAATAGCCAGCATAAAGGATAGACGAATAAGGATAAGATAAAAAGTGTATCGAGTCCCCTCTTGGCTTGTAATTTGTAATGCTGAAGATATTTACAAGTCTTAATTGAGTTTTAATTTTTTTGATAAGTGTTTAAAAATATTTAAGATCATATATTTTCATTGAAAGATATCAAAGCATCTAACTGTTACATTTATCAGTGTAATAAGCTGTTTATCTATAATTCAGGGAAGTCAATGTTTATGAAATAGTATATGTATGTACTCCACGAAAAAATATGAAGATTTTCAATTTCAGACTTATAAAATTTATATATTGATATTCTATGCATTTTGTCAGGTTTATAAATTGTTCTAGAAATATTTTTGCGTTCATTAATAATTGAATTGTACATAAATTAACGTTACTTAAGAAACTAAGATAATTTTATATGTAAATAAAATTTTATTTTTACTATCATGTGTTCGTGTTCGTTGTAATATCAAATAGAAGAAATATTCGTAATTTCAAAGTATATTAAATATAATTGGAAAAGTTTATATAAAGACATTTTAAATACTAATTTTCAAATAAATACATTAAGAAAAAGTATCAGAATAATTCTGTTTAAATCAAATAAAAATAAGGTATATGCAAACGAGAAATATCCGTTGGAAAAATTGTTGGCCCTGAAAAGGGCCGATTAAATATTTCTATTATAATTCGCTACGCTTAAGCTCGCTCGCCACGAATACGACGTGCCAGTTGGATATCTTTAGGCATGATGGTAACTCGCTTAGCATGAATAGCGCACAAGTTCGTATCTTCGAAAAGACCGACAAGATATGCCTCGCTAGCTTCCTGAAGAGCCATTACAGCAGAACTTTGGAAGCGAAGATCCGTCTTGAAATCTTGAGCAATCTCACGAACAAGTCGTTGGAATGGCAATTTACGGATTAATAACTCCGTACTTTTCTGATAACGCCGAATTTCACGGAGGGCCACAGTGCCAGGCCTGTAACGATGGGGTTTTTTCACGCCACCGGTAGCCGGAGCACTCTTCCTTGCAGCTTTCGTGGCTAGCTGTTTGCGAGGCGCCTTTCCTCCAGTCGATTTGCGAGCGGTCTGCTTGGTACGTGCCATCGTAACCTTCAAATTCTGAATGCGTCAAATCTAATACGAGCGGAACTCTGTGTCAAGTCAGATTGTAAGTTTGTCGGAATTGCTCCTGTATATATACCATACTGGAAAAGCACGCCGCGTTTGATTGGTCAATGCTTCAGGAGTGGGGCGAGCCACAAAGGTAGAGAGAGAACGCTCCTATTGGTGGATGCCGTCAGAGTGGGGCGCGTCGGAGCAGCTAGGCAATAAAATCGGCTGGTTTCTGAGGTGAGCCACCAAAATCGTTTGGCACTTCCGTGAGTGTACGTACAACGATTAAAAGCAGAACATCATGACTGGCCGCGGCAAGGGAGGAAAAGGATTGGGAAAAGGAGGAGCGAAGAGACATCGTAAAGTACTTCGTGATAACATCCAGGGTATTACCAAACCGGCCATCCGTCGTTTGGCACGTCGTGGCGGAGTCAAACGTATTTCCGGATTGATTTACGAGGAAACACGTGGTGTACTGAAGGTGTTTTTAGAAAACGTTATTCGTGACGCGGTTACCTATACCGAGCATGCAAAAAGAAAGACTGTAACTGCCATGGACGTCGTCTACGCCCTGAAACGCCAAGGAAGAACTTTGTACGGCTTCGGCGGTTAAACATAGACAGTTTTTACTTCTATACAAATCGGCCCTTTTCAGGGCCACCAAAAATTTCAAACGTTGTATTTCTCGTTATAGCAATTATTTAGAAATAAGATTTGTATTAATATCCAAGAAGATTAATCTTATATTTGTATGCTTTTTCAAATTTTATAGTGTGTGTATTGCATCTATCTTTCATATTCGTCAAAAATTTAAAATAAATTAAGTAAAAAGAAAACCAAGCAGATTTTTTTTTTCATTACATTTTACTTTCGAATATATTTTTGGATACTTTTATAAGCGGTAAATCGATACGTTTGCAATTTCTATATTGAAAAAACGTTTCTACGAAACGACTTCCATGAATATGAAATAGATATCTCGAAAATAATGGATAAAAGTTATAGGATAGAATTTATTTACTTCAGCACTTTAATCAAGAAGGGGACTTTATTTACACAATTTTAATCTGCCACATTCGTTTATCCATCCTTTTGTCCGCAAGCATACTAAACAAATCTATACTTTAAGAAAGTAATGTAATTGCACGCAGCTATTTATAAGTTCTGATAGATAAACGTGTGACCATTATTTATAAAATATGTACCATTTATTTAATCTATTTTAAACAAAATGTTTTTGAAGATACAAAGATATTTGGATACTTTTAAAAACTATTTTCCAAATGTAACTTCAAAAATATTTCTATATTATTTTTCTCACGTTGAACAAAGCTAATTTATTAATATTTTAAAATAACTTTTAAACATTGTGACATTACAAATAATTAAAAAAAAAATTTATTTTTAATATTACGCCATTCTCCCAGTCGTTTCAACATTTTACGGTCTGTCTTCATTTTTGCACGTAATGCACACATAGATATTTAAACATCTAAAACGTTTAGTACAATTTTCATTTAATTTTATTATCTTTTAAGGAGAGAAAAACAAATTTGCAAATAAAATTGTAAAACTATCTTGTCGTTTTTTCATTTTATATTCTAGTAAAATGGTAAACTAATAATTTTAAATAAACGAGAGCAAGAATTATGTAAGCGATTAAGGTTTCGTAAATATACTTTTACAACAAATGATAAATATAATTTTTTATCTAGAGATAAGAATATCTCTTTTTATCTTATAGCATTCGGTCATTTATTATAAAACTGGACTTGTGAATAAAACTGAAAAATTTCAATAAATCTGTTACAAAAAGTAATTTAAAAGATGATAAAAATATACATCCTGATCATGACTGCAATTAAATTTTGATCTGTTTGAAAGGTCATTTCTAAATATTTACATAACAAAATAGCTCTGTTGAAGGTTATTGTATGAATATAAAATATTGGAGTAATTTCAAACTGTTCACAACACTGAATTCTTATTGCTTATTGATTATTTAATAAATAATGTCATAAATAGTATTTATTAATAATGAATAAAATAATATTAAGAATTTATATATAAATTCAATGGCACTACATCGAATAAAATACATTAAAGCTGCTTTATATAAATATAACATATCTAAATGCAGTAAACATAATATAATAAATTTTGACAATGAAATAAGAAATAATACATTCTGTTAAAAATAACGTGACAATATTATTTAGTATTTAATCGATTAAATTATTTATTTGTTAATCAGTGTAATACAAGTTATATAAGCGACAGAATTCGCTATGAGATAAACAATTTTAAAGACAATTTTTAAACTTAATAATTTCGATCGAAATATCGAATATTTAAAAAATAAAAATTGCTACAATTTATGCTTTAACGTTTTATCTACGTTTATTACTAAAGACGGGGATATGGATATAGATTATTACAGAGAAAACGAGAGATTTCCATGTTTTAAGGATTTGTTGGCCCTGAAAAGGGCCGATATGCGTATGCAATATATTAAATATTGCTTCATTTTGAACTAGTGTACTTGGTTACTGCTTTCGTGCCTTCGCTGACTGCGTGCTTCGCCAATTCACCGGGCAACAAGAGCCTCACAGCGGTCTGGATCTCCCGAGAGGTGATCGTTGAGCGCTTGTTGTAATGCGCCAATCTCGACGCTTCCGCGGCGATTCTCTCGAATACATCGTTGACAAAGCTGTTCATGATGCTCATAGCTTTGCTGGAGATTCCAGTGTCCGGATGTACTTGCTTCAGTACCTTGTAGATGTAAATGGCGTAGCTCTCCTTCCTCTTGCGCCTCTTCTTCTTGTCGGTTTTGCTGATGTTCTTCTGAGCCTTGCCCGCCTTCTTCACCGCTTTACCACTAGCTTTCGGTGGCATGATGAGATCAGTTGCAACGAAACTCTGCGTACAAGTCGTGGACTCAACGAAGTCGGAACGTCGATTGATTTTCTCGGCGTCTGCGTTCTTTATATACGTAACGGCGTAGCCACGCGACAACCAATCACATCGCGCAGCACTGCCGCGATGGGGTCGACCTCGGCCTCATTGGTGCGCCGTAGGAACAACTGTCCACGTTTTTGACATTGAACTAAAACTACAGGATACTCAAGTTAAACTTTGTGTCAAAATAATTTAATGAACAATAAAATGGGCCCGACAATTCAGTAACATTCGTCTCAATGTAACACGTAAAAATGTATAAAAATTACGTTGGATAGTTAAACCATACAATTTTAAAATAATTGTCGACGCGAAACATACCTTTCAATTAAACAATTAAATTTACGTACTTCAACATAATTTAACGTGCACATGTGCTACACAAAATTTCATGTTTCAGATATAATTATATTGAAATGAATTACACATAATTTCATGATGAAGTTCGAGATATAAACTAAAGGAATCATATTTTGTGGAGCTTTATATATAATTTCAATTATTCCTTCTAATATTAGTAAAGAGAATAATTATATGCTCCAAAGATTATATAAAATGTAAATCTAAATAAATTAGAATTTGATTTGTGATGTAAAAATTGTGTGAATAGCACAAAATAACCATGTTTCTTTGTCTGACCACATTTGACGCCCGAACAAAGACAGGACATTCCTTCTCTCCCAACGCCATTTCGTGATACATGTTGAGAATCGAGTCAATCGAGACGATTTCACACGTGTCATGCCCGATGTTAAAATATTTTCAGATTTGCTGTTTTTATTTATATAGATAAATACAAAGAGACAGCAAATAAGAATAATATTGGAAATAAAAAAAATACGTAATATCCATTATTATATATATATATATTATTTCTTGTTTCTATTAATATTTGTTATTTATATATTTAGCAAAATTTACAAAGCGACGGAGATCGTGAAATAACCAAACTAGAAAAGATAACTAATGATATTAATGAGCAACTCAGAAATTTGACATTAGAAATATTTATTTTAACTCTAAAATGAGATACTAAACGATTGAATTTCTAAGACTAAAATATTCGTAAGTCAACCGATGAATGTAATCAATTTGATTTTAAATGTTTGAATTACAGCACAAGTCATAAGACATCAAAATATACGATATAATAAACAAGTACGTTGCAATATTCAAAACGTTTCACATGAAACTGAATTGATCTATTATTACAAATAAATAAGTGAAGTGAAAGCCTTATTCAATTAAAGCAGATCTCGATGCTTAATATTTTTAAATGAATTTTATAATTTCTAGTTCACGTAAAATATGCAAACTGCGTATTGATACTATTGATTATTTATTGGTTTTGAAACAGAATCCTCAACTCTGAAACTGGAGTATTATAAACTAAATAAAGTAATTTAATAATATTAATACTAACTAGTATCTTAAACTACTGTGAAGAAATTAAAGAAATTATGAAAGTAATAGTAGATAAATAAATAAATCTAATATGAGAGAATCTTATTTATGAAAACCAATCTTGATGCTTAATTATCACATAAATTCATAAATTTATTTTATTTCTAGAAACTGCGTCAATAATTGCATCAAATCTAATAAACTATTATGCTAAATATGGATAGGAAAATGGTATAAATGTTAGGGATAGCATTAATGCTGAACAGAATACGCCATCGTAAAAAAAATTTTGTGGCCCTGAAAAGGGCCATTTGTATCAGATGCCAGATTATGTCGATTATGCCTTCTTTTCGGTCTTCTTGGGTAGCAATACGGCCTGGATGTTCGGCAAAACACCACCTTGGGCAATGGTTACACCGGACAACAGCTTGTTCAACTCCTCGTCATTGCGGATGGCGAGTTGCAGATGACGAGGGATGATCCTAGTTTTCTTGTTGTCACGAGCGGCGTTGCCAGCCAACTCCAAAACTTCAGCGGCCAGATATTCCATGACTGCAGCCAGGTAGACCGGTGCACCAGCACCGACGCGTTCAGCGTAGTTTCCTTTCCTCAGCAAACGGTGGATACGACCCACGGGGAACTGCAATCCCGCCCTATTGGAACGGGACTTCGCCTTTCCCTTGACTTTTCCACCCTTTCCGCGACCAGACATGTTGCTCGATTCAGAATACGGATATCCTTTCTGTATAAGAAACGAGAGATTTGTGACGTTTCGCCGTCCGGGCACTCTCTTTTATACCCCGCGAGGATAGCGCACTCCCCACCAATCGGCGCGCACAGCTGCTCTCCGATCTTCTGATTGGTGCGCCGTAGATGTCGCGAATGGTATATATACGATAGCTCCGTTAACGCTCCAACTCATTTTCCCGTGCGCATCGAGAACGCTGTATCGTGGTTCTATCCGCAGGTAGCTTTTCGATTGTACGACAAAATGCCCCCTAAAGCGAGTGGCAAAGCCGTGAAGAAGGCTGGTAAGGCTCAAAAAAATATTAGCAAGACTGACAAGAAGAAGAAGCGGAAGAGGAAGGAGAGCTACGCCATTTACATCTACAAAGTACTGAAGCAAGTACATCCGGATACTGGAATCTCCAGCAAAGCTATGAGCATCATGAACAGCTTTGTCAACGATGTATTCGAGAGAATCGCCGCGGAAGCGTCGAGATTGGCGCATTACAACAAGCGCTCAACGATCACCTCTCGGGAGATCCAGACCGCTGTGAGGCTCTTGTTGCCCGGTGAATTGGCGAAGCACGCAGTCAGCGAAGGCACGAAAGCAGTAACCAAGTACACTAGTTCCAAGTAAATTGGAATTGACGACAGAAACGGCCCTTTTCAGGGCCAACAAAAATTCGAACGTTGACTTTTCTCTGAATTTCGCTTCTCTAAAATTTTATTCTACGCACGGAACATATTTATATACTCTAAACTGATTCAGTTTATATTTGTTCAGTTCGAATTTGATGCCAAATATGATTACCTAATTCAAAAATTATTTAAGATTAAAAAAATAGTCTCTATTGAAAATTAATTCTCTAATTTTTAAGATGCAAAATTGTTTTTAAGTCTAGAAAATCGAAATATCCATGAAACATTCATATTTAGAGATTCTTTTTTATTTGTACATTTAGGCTACAGTAAAATAAATTATATAGTACATTATAATTAAAATTTAAATTATATGTATTATAAAATACAATCCCACTTGACATCAAAAGTATTTATATTATAACTCGCATTCAACAATATAAATGTAATATACTTGGTGTTACATAATACAGTTAACAACATTAAATTATAATGTAGATACACTTTTAGTTCGTGTCGACTGGAATATTTTTATTTATATCACAATAAAATTCTTAGACACAGAATCTCTGTAATCGTTTTACATTTTTGCTTTAAGTGATTCGGATTTTATAAACAGCGTTGATGTATATTTTTCTATTCATATCGAGTTAAATTTAATTTTTTAATTACCAATAAATTGTCAAGTGTATTTTATTTCGTTTGTGGATAACACACGTTATGTATCACAAATTTTTTATTCTAACGGATAAAAATTCGAGTTTCTCGCCTTATTTGTCGTCGTTACTGTTGCTGAGGGAAGAGAGAGCATGCTGTTCGATTCTAACATAGGATCGTCAGTCACGAATTGTAGGTCGACGGTACTTCTTTCTCCGGCAAGAAGTAGCCGTGAAAGTAAAATTAACAAACTAACGACTGTATTTATAGATAGATGCAAGTTGAATTTTAATATTCGGCACTGCAAAGATTACGTACTTTCATACAAATGTTTGATTATCCAGGCTGTAATTATGCCGTTCTCGAAATAGACTCCGAACAACAATTAAATAATTGCGTAACGCACGCAGAGTTATAGAATTGTGTGTTTCGAAACTTGAAAAGTCGAGATTGTCTAATTTAAATATTTCGGCGACGCGTGACGTGGTGAACGTGACGTGAAACTATTGATAAAAAAAAATACCGCATTGTGTTATCTCGCAGGAAGTTTCACGTTACAGTCGAGTCGATGCGTTTAACAATCGATTATAATGCGACAGAGAATAATATTCCACAAGTTCATTTTGCACAGGCAAGTGTCTTGATTCTCGATCAAACGCGTCTCGGGGAAACGTTTCGTTTATGTTTATTTTCATTTTCCAGTCGTACGGTTGCTTTTCGTCCTAACCTCTCAAAAATTTCCAAGTGTACAAATTTAAATCGCGGTATGGCAACGGACACGAAATTTCTGTTGGAGTCGAGAGCCGATCTAAGAGATATCTTCCGTTCCGCCGTGAAAGCGGTGTCGCCGAACGAAATTATAAGGAGGAGGGTGAAACTCCGAGGTAACGTTTTGTACGTCGACGAGAGGAGTTTCCCGCTTAAAGGGGACGTTTACCTCGTCGGATTCGGTAAGGCGGTTATGGGAATGGCTGTGGAGCTCGAGCGAGTGCTCGGCGACACTTTGAAGAAGGGCATTGTCAGCGTGCCGAGTATGTCGAGGGACGTTATGTGGGCCTCCGAAGATAAATCTAGCTTCCCTAGGTTGCACAACGGCAGGATAGACTATCGCGAAGGTGGCGTCAACAATCAACCTGATGACAGATCGTTGGACACCACGCACGACATTATAGACCTGGTCGAAAAGTTGACCGAGACAGATACTCTGGTAGTATTAGTGTCAGGTGGAGGCTCCGCATTGCTGTACATGCCGAGGCCTGTCTTGGCTCAAGAAGACAAGTTGGAACTTTGTAAGAAGCTTCAAAACGCAGGTGCCGATATCACCGAGCTTAACATCGTGAGGCAAAAGCTATCTCTAGTAAAAGGCGGTGGTCTGGCACGTATGGCCTATCCCACGTCCGTTATTACGCTGATATTATCCGATATTGTCGGTGATCCCGTAGACTTGATCGCCAGTGGTCCTACTGTTTATAATCCGAGAACACCGGAGCATGTTGTTGCTATTTTAAAAAAGTATAATTTGTTTCAGTCACTTGAGGATAATTTAAAGACTGTCATAACGTCCAAGGAGCCGTTTAATGATAAACCGTTATTAAATCCAGCTACAGCTAAAACTGCCACTAAACAGTTCAAACATGTGACAAATATAATTCTAGGAAACAATACAATGGCTCTTGAAGCTGCGAAACTTGAAGCTTCGCGCAAAAAATTAACTCCAATAATCTTAAAGAATAATGTCACAGGAAATATACGAGATGTTAGTTCAGCATATGTTCACTTAACAAGTTTGATATGTCTCGTTTTGCTAAATGAGCTAGAAAAAAAAGAATTTTACGACAAAGTACGGACTATGCCAATACTTTCATTATCTATTGATAAAATCGACGAAATCTTTCATCGTCTTATTGGCAATCTCGGTGGTATAGTTTTAATAGGAGGTGGAGAGCCTACGGTTGTGGTAACAGGTCAAGGAAAAGGCGGTAGAAATCAGGAATTAGCTTTACGTTTTTCACTGGATTGGCTAGCAAAAATCAAAACTTATCCGCGACTTGTCGAGTACGATGTGATGATGCTCAGTGCAGGTACTGATGGTCAAGATGGTCCTACTGATGCAGCAGGTGCATTTGGCTATCCTGCCATTGCACCCATAATGCACGATTTTTACGCAAAAATTAAATCTATGACTACCAAAGAAAATATACAGTCGAAACAAGAAATAATGACAGACAGAGAAACGCAGGATTCGTACAGAAGACAGCAAACGAGTAGATTTGTAGCAGAATTTAATGTTGAACAAGAAGATTCCAGTAGCACAATAGAAAAGTCTTCTCAAGAAGATGTTAATGAACATATCGATCATTTAATATTAAAGATAATGGAAGTAGAACGCATGTTACCTGAAAATGTCTTAAAAGAAAACGATACGTATAATTTTTATTCGCGCTTCAAGAAGGGGGCGGACTTAGTTAAAACGGGAAAAACTGGCACTAATGTTATGGATTTACATTTTATTTATATAAAAAAACGACCGTGCAAGTGTGAGATTGATTCCTCTGACAAACCAATATATGAAGAAGATATCTTGGACGTACATGATTTACACATTGACGCATTGACTATTGAAAAGTACAAGGCTCCCTTAAAATTTGATAAAGACGAATTTTTACAAACTCCATCTTTAACTACTGAAGCTAAAGTGGAAAAACCGTTTCTAAAAATTATTGATGAAAATTACAGATATGTGTTGTACTAAAAAACATAAACTTGATTAATTGAAAATACATCAAGAATGTATCTATAAAAAATCCTACATTATATCATTATTACATAAATATGTTCTATAAAATAAATTACATTCCACTTTGTTCAGTATTCCACTTTGGAAGAAAATAGATAATTTACATTTTGTAAATACTTTTAAATATATATAAAATAAAACTTTTAAATATATATATAAAATATCTCAATTATACTTGTGTATCAAGAAGGCACTGCTTAAAAATAAATCTTTTAGGCTACATTCCGAAACGTCCTCTTCGAGGAAAATTTTACTCGATAATATAATATTTGTACTATACGTTACATGTACTATATTTTGAGTAAAATTTTTCTCGGAGAAGACGTTTTGGATTATGCCCTTAAATTATAACATTACTACATAACATATCTATTTGCTTGAAGATATGACAATATATATTCTCTATACATACATAGATATCTACAGAGGTCATATAATATATATTTGTATATATGTTATTTGTATTATGTGTATTATATTGTTTGTTGACTATATCGACATTTTTCTTATAACGAAAAAATATAAAACTAATATTTCATAAAGGAATATATAATTACGTAGCAACATTTATATAATTAGACACAATACACAACTTTGGTAATCTAATACTTTCTATCCCAATATTTTTATTTCATAGATATATTGTTTTTCTCTGTCAATTATTTTAGTACAGATACAGAATTACTTTGATAGGGACTTTCAAAAGCTTCTTAAAATATTATTTGCTTGCTTATTTAAAGAGAAGAAAAAAATTTAATATATAAGTAGGATTTCTTCTACTATATTGTTTACTAAGTGTCTGTGCATATAAATAAATATAAACTTTCTTTTATAACGTCTATAAATTATGTTATAAATTATGTATATAATGATAAAAACGAGATTATTCATTTGTACATTACATTTCTTAGTCATTAGTG